GTGTTCATCCAGCTCTACACCTTGTTATCTTACACTTAGGAGTAAGGCCACTTTCTTTCTAATGAGATAGATAAAAACTTTGGAGTTTTTCTTTCTGTGTCACCACTGATGACGGTAAAAATGCTTTTGAAAAATTATAAATACATGACCTGCTGCCCCCAATAGCAAGGAGCAAATAATTTTCTCTTTCCATTTCCCTTTGCAGTGGTTTGTTCGCAGTATTTAATCTTCCCACTCACACTGCAAAGAGAAGCTTCTCTTCAGTTTGAATAATTACAACAATATTGGTCCTTGCTGTTCTCTCTGTTTGAAGGTAATAAAATAAATATATGTCTTACGGCAAATTCATTGTCTGGATCCACTGTTCCCTTCCGGACTGGTCGTGAGTATTGAAACTTGTGCACATAATTTGCCTTGTAGAAACTGGGAGAATCAAAGAAATAAAATGACTCACACAATGGTACGTCCTGGAGTAACGTACAGCTAGGCTTGATTTATCCTCTCTGTTAACAAGGTGGTTTAGCTTAATGAGTATGTGGTTTCTATTTAACCATAGCTAGACCACTGATAAAAGGGTAAGTCTATTGCAAGTTGACTACTCATGTCAATAGTTCTCTTGTGTAGGGGTAGACATCACAAATGATATCTCCCCCTTCTAATCATAAGGACAACAAATGGGAGCATTCACAATTTACCCATTTACAATGCAGTTAGGTATTGTAAATTGGCATACTTATAAAGTCGTCCTTTAATGTGGAAGTAAATACACTGAATAGAGTTAGTGACTCCCTTAGTCTAGGGGAAATTATAGCAAATATTGGACACTCACTTATCAACCCTTCAAAGACGATTTGGTACTTTTAAAGTGAGCGAAAGAACATTATGGGTGGGAATAGATGAATATTATGGAATCCTCTTTGAGGCCAATGCATTCTTGGAGAACTTATAGGCTATCATGTAGAGGTTGTACAGGACATTTGTGAGACCTCTTCTGGAGCACTGTGTCCAGTTCTGGTCACCCAGTTATAGGAAGGGTATTATTAAGATGGAGATGATTCAGAAAAAGATTTACCAGGATGTTGCCAGGTGTGTTTGAATTATAAAGAGAGGTTGATGGGTGGGACATTTTTCACTGGAATGTAGGGGGTTGACGGGTGATCTTATAGAGGTTTATAAAATCATTAGGGGTAAAGGTAAGGTGAATGTCCGGGGGTGTCTTTTCCCTAGGATGGGGAATTTCAAGACCAGGAGACATATTTTTCAGGTGAGAGGAGGGACATTTAACAAAAGATATGAAGGGCAACTTTCCTGCACAGGTATTGGTTTGTGTGTGGAATGTACTTCCAGAGGAAGTGGTTGATGCGGGTACAGTTACAAGGTTTAAAAGACATTAGATAAGTTCATTAATAAGAAATGTTTTGGAGGGATATGGGCCAAGCACAGGCAGGTGGGACTAGTTTAGTTTGGGATTATAGTCGGCATGGACTGGTTGGATTGAAGGGTCTGTTTCCGTGCTGTATGGCTCTATGACTGTACTACCCAATGACTTTAATAGCAAAAACTAAGCAGAGTGGGTAGAGTTCAGAAAGGATTGCTTTTTTTAAATGAGTTAAGCCATGACTGGGCTTTGTAGAGTGTGTCGTGTCTCATTCACTGATGTCATATCATTACTCCAAAGGAATTTAGGGCCAGGAGACTCACAGAACAGGAAAGAGGTGACTTTGAATTTTATTAATTCAGCCATTTTTAACTTACCAGTTTGGAAGTCTGAAGTCATGAGAAAATGTGATAAAATCACAATGGAATAGACATGATGCTGCATCCACAAAATGAAGAATTAGATTATGTCAAGCTCCTATTTCTCCCTGAATTAGAATCAGTGTTTTAACTCACAGCTCCAATTCTATGTTCATACTGTAGCTGTAGAGTCACTGTGTCCAATTCAGATGATATGTTAATGTTGTTGTTCAGCTACATCCACAGTGCTCCACTGTTCTGATAACTAGAGTATTTAAACAGCAGAGCATGGGCATCACTGTCATTTATTCAAGAGATGGTGGCATCACTGGCTAAGCCAGCTTTAATGCCCATCCCAGACAGCCATTGCTGTGTGTCTGGAGTCACATGGTAGTCCAGGTCAGGTAAGAATGGCAGTTTCCTTCTCTACAGGACAGTACTGAACCAGATGGGTTTCTCCCAGATTCAAATACCATCATCTGCTGTGGCAGGATTCAAACCTGTGATCTCTGGTTTAACAGTCCAGTGATAATACCACGAGGCTGCTACCTCCCCAGCACAAGAAAGAGCCTAAAAAGCAGTGGAACGGGACAAACATAGCATCAATCTGTTGAACATTAATGGTATTGACACCTGAGATGCTCTGTGTGGAGTTTGCACATTCTCCCTGCGTCTGTGTGGGCTTCCTCCAGGTGCTCTGGTTTCCTCCCACAGTCCAAAAATGTGCACGTTAGGTGGATTGGCCAGGCTAAGTTGTCATAGTGTGCAGGCTAGGTGGGTTAGCCATGGGAAATGCAGGATTACAGGGATGGGGCGGGTCTGGGTGGGATGCTGTTTGGCGGGTCAGTGTGTACTTGAATGGCCTCCTTCTGCACTGGAGGGATTCTAAGTGCAGTATTCGGACCACCATGCTCTTCATAATCTCTTCAGCATGACAACAGTGACTTCTGCATTTTTAAAAAAAATCTCGACACAGCCACAATAAACTGTGCAAAACAGAAATAACACTTGCACCTTCCCGAGATCTTGCCTATTATTGTCAAATAGCTAGGGTTCTAAAGTACAGATTATAGAGTGGGCAGAAGGTGGCAGTGGAGGCTTAGAAGTTCAAACCATTCCTTGGTGAAAGAGTGTTCCTTGGTGAAAGAGTGTTCTGCACACATGGTTAAGCTGGTCTGTTTCAGCAGGGCTTGAGAAAAAAACAGTCAGCCCATATTGTGAACCCAGCAAAGAAGTCCCACACAGAAAGCTGGCCTTCCATGGAATAGCATAGAAGAGGGGAGGTCATATTATCACGAGATTACTAATCCAGAGACCCAGGTGAAGTTCCTGGTTTCAAGACCGGCAAATGGTGGAATTTGAATTCATTAAAAATCTGGAATTAAGAATTTAATGATGACTGTGAAAACACTGTCAAAGTGGAAAAAATCCATCTGGTTCAAAATGTCCTTTAGGAAAGGAAATTGCCATCCTTACCTCGTGCGGCCTGCAAGTGAATCCAGACCCATGGCAATGTGGCGGACTCTTAACTGTCCTCTGGGCAATTAGGGATGGGCAATAAATGCTGGCCTAGCCAGCAATGCCCACATTCCATGAATGAATAAAAAACAAAAAACCATTGAATAGATTTAACACCCTCTTTAGTTACACTAATAAACCAACTCCATAGAATCCCTACAGTGTGGAAGCAGGCCATTTGGCTCATCAAGTCCACACTGACCCTCCAAAGAACATCACACACAGACCTACACCCCTATCCTGTCCCCATAACTCTACATTTTCCATGGCTAATCCACTTAGCCTGCAGTTCGCTGGACATTATGGGCAATTTAGCATGACCAATCCACCTAACCTGCACATCTTTGGACTGTGGGAGGAAACCAGAGCACCTGGAGGAAGCCTATCCAGACACAAGGAGAATGTGCAAACTCCATACAGACAGTCAACCAAAGGTACAGTCAAACGTGGGTCCCTGGCTCTGAGGCAGCAGTGCTAATGTCTGAACCACTGTGCTGCCCTCCAGCTTTAAACAGAACCATGAAAGAGTCAGCTAAATGCAGTACAGAGCACTGCTTCAAGCAATGGCCAAATCTAGGTGCGTGTGTCCCTAACGCATAGCAGTTTTTGATCAGTCTTCAAGGCAATATTAGACTGTCAAGCTAAGGATTCACTGAAAACAAGACATTCTTATGGAATACTTCATGAAGGCAGGAAGCCCCAAAGGACTTTATAGCCAATGAAGCACTTTTGAAGTACAGCTGCTGGACACATGGTGACAAATCTACACACAGCAATGAGCAGTAATGGATTAAATTACTAAATCATCTGATTTACATGCTTTTTGGCATTTAAATATAGTTTAACAAACTGGTTTTCTTTCACATAGTAGATTTTTTACATCCATTTGAGAGGACAGAGAGTGCTTTGCTTTAAGCTGATAGATTATAGACTGAATGACTGCAATAGTGTTGTTATTCCTCTACATAAGTGTCCATAGGAATGCTGGCTCGGGCCACAGTTCAAAACTAGCTCATAAACTCTGAGCTTTCTCTCTCACAAAAGTGAGGAAGATTGTTGGACCATGGAATATTTAAGGCAGGCTATTCAATAGTAATTAGCCCACATCAAAAACAAAGCCCAGCTATGTACTGAATAGTTTGCTCCATCTCGCAAATACAATGGATCTCAAATCCAACATTATACCTGCCTTTATTCAATGAATGGGGCCTTTATTCTTTACCCACTGACTGAATCCACTCCATCCTCATGAAAATCTCCTTTTCTCTTCTCATAGGCAGTAAGAAGATACAAGGAAGATAACTGTATTGCAACTCCAGTTCAAATGCACTGTTAGAAGATTCAGAAACGGAGCTTCAGAGAGGTGTAAATCAGTAAACCTGCCAAGGCTGTGTCATAAACGGTGGGACAATGGTCAAGACAGGATGTATGGTTAAAACTAATGAATTAAGTCACAAACCCATTTCGAGATTCTGTGAGGACTAATATGAACTAAAATCAGCATATCTCAATCTAAATTAATGGCAGCTAAACAGGCTGGTGATCAGTAAGGCAGATATAGGCCCCAAGCAACCCGTGCACCATATTAGGAGCAGCATAGTGCTGAGATCATACTTACTTTATGACTTGATCCGGCACTGGCTTGTCCTTGAAACGGGATGGTTCCTCCAGGACTGGCTGGACAGTGAAACATTGAATGACTGTTCAGAGATTAAGGATCTTGAAAGTAGTATGTAAATCATTGTAATTGCAACAGCAGGTCAGAGACTGAGGAATCTGCTGTAAATCACTCTCCTCCTGATCCCCCAAAGACTCCTTATCACCTACAAAGCACAAATGAGGAAAGTGATAGAATACTTCCCATTTGCCTGGATGAGTGTAGCTCCAACAACACTCAAGAAGCTTAATGCCAACTAGGACAAAGCAAATAGCTTGTATGACATCCCATCCACCTTAAACATTTAATCTACCCACCATCAGCATGCAGCGACAGCAGTATGTACTGTCTATCAGATGTTCTGTAGCAAGTTACCAAACCTCTATCAACAGCACCTTCCAAACCCACAACCTTGATGATTCATTAGAACAGAGGCATCCTAAACACCACCACTTGTATTTTCCCTTCCAAGTTACACCACAGCCCAAGTTGGAACTATATTGCTGTTCCTTCACTGATGATGATCAAAATCCTGGAACTCCCTTCCTAACAATGCTGAGTGGACCTACACTGAAAGGACTGCAGCAGTTAAAGAAGGTGACACACCACCACTTCTCAAGGGCAATTAGGGATGGGCAACAAACTGCTGGCCTTGCCAACAGTACCCACATCCTGTGAATGAATAAAGGAAAGGCCTTTCTCGTCATTTCTGCTGTGGGGATTGGGAGTTGCATAGTGGACATTCAACTCAGTGTTTACCACTGAATCTATATCCGGCTGTGTAATTTAGAGCTCCAGTCAATGTTTATAAAACTCTGCTAGATCGGGTTTGTGGACCAGCGTGCACCGTTACTTTGTCCAAAATACAAGAATGTTCTCTAAATGTGTCTTGACTGTTCTCAGGAGATACGTTTGTTACCAACAAGCTCAAACTGTTTGCCAATAAAATAATGGAACTGAGTTAACCCATGGCAGGGTCAGGAGAGCAGTTCTTCAAGATGGTGTAGGAATTATGGATTCTGGAGTGGCAGATGTCTCACTGAAGAACAGGAGCTCCTCACTCATACTGCAACATTATAGGCTAAAACCCAATGGAGTAAAATCATCCTCAAAGAAGGAGCAACGAGACACTTTTTCATGCAAGATGCTGTTAAACGGCATTGTTTAAGTGTGTCAGGCAGAGTCCCTCTTTCATTTAGAGCAGAGGTAGTTAGTTTTGGTAACTGTCTCAGATTTGTTTGGACTTTGGTGAATGGAATGCATCCCTTTGATGTACGCACTCTCTATTTTGTAATAATTCTTTCTCTACACGTAAGTGCAGTGGCTTGAATAGACCATTGTAGAGTTGGATTCTCTACCTCTTCTGATTTATATATTTTGGGCATATAGCTCACATTCCATTGATATTATTGATTGCTCCTCTTCGCTGGTTTGCAATATCTAATATTGATTCTAAGCAGATTCTTCAACGTCTTTCAGCACCATCCTGAAATATTTAAACATGATTCATGGAGTATTAAGCCATTTTTGCTTTACTTTACATTTGACTCCATTAAATTCAATCATCCACTGTTTTGCCCGACCCAACTCATTCTTTAATATCTAAGCTACCTCTTCCCATTCTGTTCTTCCTCCTTGTTCACTCTCCACATGTTGAACTGAATTTCTGAATTCAGACCATGGAGTAATAAACAGTATGACTCCAACACCAAGGCCTGTGGCATCCTACACAGAGGATCCTCCAAATCCAGTGTCCAGAGAAGTGATCTATTCAACAGCATCCTCTTCCAAGATAACTTAGAGTCATAGAATCATACAGCACAGAAACAGAGCCTTCAGTTCAACCAGTCCACGCCGGCCATGTTCCCAAACTGAACTAGTTTCACCTGCCTGCATCTCAAGACAGTGAAAGTGTTCAAAAGAATAGACATAGAGAAAAATGATTCCACTTGTGAAGAAAACCCAAGTTGTGGAAGAGCCATGAACATAAGATAACCACAAATAAAACAAATAAAGAAATCAGGAGAAACTCCTGAATCCAGAGAGTGGTTAGAATGTGGAACTCATTGCTACAGGAAGTAGTTGAGGCCAATAGCCTGTAATAAGAAGCTAAATAAACGGATGAGGAAGGACTGAATATGCTGAGAGGGTTAAATGAAGAGGACTGGGAAGAGACTCAATTGAGCATAAACATGGTTTTGGAGTATTGGCATTACATTCTGTTATGCTATGTAAATGTTAGGGGGACAACACTGTCTGAGAATTGCCACTGTTTGTTTTTCTATCATATTATTTCCTTCCACTCCTCTGTGGAAGTAGAGGGGATATCACAGCCTGTACTTGATGTCAGGTTACTCAGGATAGCCGTACTAGGAAAGCTGAACTAAACAGCAAACTGGACCTTCCTCGCCAAGCCAGCAGATACAGTCAGTGCCCAGCAAACCACTCATCACAACCATTATTATTGCAGAATTCCCTGAAACAGTGCAGCTCTTCCACATCATTAAGCAGCTTGGTTCCTGCTCAGCTAGTTACAACTAACTGGAATTTAACAGCCACTAAAAACATTGATCTCATCCGCATGAATAGCACTGCAACAAGTCATTGAACGCACTGTAAGGACTGAGGCCAATTTTCTTCTGTCCAATGTATTGCAGCCTCCCTCACATTCTACCTCACGGTGATCCGTACCTCACAATATCAAACAGTGTCTTGGCCTATAGTGCTTGCCCCAAAATGTGTGGAGTGTGACACACAGTTCCGTACCTGCAGTTCCCTGCATGGTTGAAGGAATAATTTCAATCATCTCCATTGTTGGGAAATGACCAATTGTAGCTTGCCCACTGCAAATGAAAATATACAGTAAAACCAAGGGACCTATCATAATAGGCTCTGAGTCCAATCACTTTCTGTTTGGCAGCTGGAATATTCCTATATCCCGATAGCATTTGCTTTCCCAACTTATCTTGGATAGAAGGACACTGATTCTTGATTAAGTTTAATATTTCCCCTTCACTAGGATGGCAAAAAAAGACTTTAATTGTTAATTGAGGGATAACAAGGTGTAGAGCTGGATGAACACAGCAGGCCAAGCAGCATCAGAGGAGCAGGAAAGCTGATGTTTCGGGTTTAGATCCTTCTTCAGAATTTTAATTGTTAACTTTAATTGTTAAGCTCGTTTACATATCCATGTGAACTGCTGTGGACCGTCACATTGAATGTTGCACAGAATCTAAAACATAAGAATCAGGACATTAGATACAAGCAGCCAAAGCTGTTGTTTGTATTCCTCTTCAGCCTTCCCGCACTTTGAATATCTCTTCCCACGTGCAACATCCCTTCCTTTCTCCTGCAACCATATTACTATGCTACTTTCTTTCTCAAATATCCAACAAGGGTGCCCTTAAATGCATTCAAGGCATCAGTTTAACTGCTCCAAATTCTCTGTGTAAAATTATTTTTTTGATATACTAACCGTTATCTTATATACTTGTTCAGACTGATTCACAAGTTGTAGTTTACTGTGAGTGCCAATAGTTGTGTTCCTACTAATGCATTGGCAGTAATCAGTAATCAGCACTTTTCTAACCTGAACGATATTGTGCCTATTACAATCATATTGAGTGGAACATGTTGTACGCAGACAAACTGAATATTAATCCAAATTCTGTAAGATTTAGGTCGAAATGCTTTTGCAATATTTTCCACAAATGTTATGATTAAAGTATATTTTAACAAAACAAATTTTTCTGATCTGAATGAAGCTGACAGCACATAAGGCAAGGCATGTACCTGCAGTATTTGCTGAATGAGCACAGAGTTCCACATCTGCACTTAAGCATGGAATCCTCCTCACAGGACTGGAATCAAACGGAGAAGTTGGTGCGTCTAATGTGTTGAGCTCTGGATTGTCTGCTTGCTAAAAGGCAATCATTAGCTAAATGGCAGTGTTACTTACTTGGTGGTTGTCTTATTTCCACAATGCTGGACTTTTTATTTCTCTATTTTCTAAGATCTTGTGACTGAAGAAGCTTGTACCCAGGTATCTTTGTATCTAAGATAGCGCTGTAAATAGTGATTTATAAACTTTCCACTGTGCTCATTTGAGTACCTGTGACAATAAAACTAATTGTACTCTATCCTATTCTGTTCTATTCTATTCTATTCCTCTTTATGAGATTTTAATCAAGTGCTCCCTTTAGGGAAGACTTTTTCACTCTCTATTTTGGTTCACAATGTATATCACAGTACAGTTGAACAACAGCATCAATAGTAATGAGATAAACAGGTTACATGAACTTCTTGCCATGAAAATGCCCAATACTGGGTAAAGGACAGATGTGACCCAACCACTGATGCAACTTATGACGTCATCTACACCAAAGGATACATTGTCCTGGGGAATTTTTGATGTTGCTTGCAGGGGCTGATGTCGTGTTCATTCTCACTGCATTTGGAAACTCAGTCATCAGCTGTCCTTGAAAATCTTCTCTCCGCTCATATTCCTTGCCCCGGTAGATGAACACCTTGTTCTGTTGTTGAAGACAAAAAAAGAGACATTTCCTGGAGCCGTCTTTTTGCTGGTTGGTTGTGCAAAATGGCTTTGGTCAGTCTTAGTCCAATTCCTAGCAGGCAGCAGAACAACTCCTAAATCAGCATTAATTAACATCTCATCAGCAATCACACTCAGAGTACTGAAGGTGGAGAATGAAAAAATGTCCCATTCAAACTGTAACAGAAAAGGCTTACATTTATATAACACTTTCATAACTTCAAAATATCTCAAAGTAATATGCAATCAATGAGATTTAGTTCCTGCATGATGTTGACAAATGCAGCATTTAATTTACATGCAGTAAAGTCCCACAAAGAGCAATGAGCTAAATGACCAAATGAAGTGCTTACAAACAAGGTTTTAAAACTGAGAAGTCAGGGCAGTAAAAGTTTATTTCCTGAGGTTGAGGAATCGTCTGTTAAATCTCTTCTTTTCTGCTCCAGTGAAAACTGTTCGAGCATCTCAAGTCCACTCTGATCTGTAGTATTCTGTTTCTGGAACCATCCTGATAAACCTATGCGGAGATAGTAAGAACTGCAGATGCTGGAGTCAGAGACAACACAGTGTGAAGCTGGAGGAACACAACAGGTCAGACAGCATCAGAGGACTAGGAAAGTTGACGTTTTTGGTTGGGACCCTTCTTCAGAAAAGGGTCCCGACCCGAAATGTCAACATTCCTGCTCCTCTGATGCTGCCTGACCTGCTGTGTTCCTCCAGTCCACACTGTGTTGTCTCTGATAAACATATGCTGTGTCAGAGATAGTAGGAACTGCAGATGCTGGAGAATCTGAGATAACAAGGTGTAGAGCTGGATGAACACA